CAGCCCACACACAGTGCTGGGTGTCCTCAGAGCAGGACAGGGACAGGGGTGGCCCAAAGGCAGGAGAGGACCCCAGGCAGCCCTTGTGTAACTGCAGCTCCTCTGTGGTTTTCCAGACATTACGACATCAAAAGGAACGACGACATAGTGTCATTCTTCAACGACTTCAGCGACCACCTGGCTGAGGAGGCCCTGTGGGAACTGTCCCTGAAAATCAAACCGCGGAACATCACGAGGCGGAAAACAGATCGGGAAGAGAAAACCTAGGAGGAGGGGTTGTGCGAGGAGAATCGCTCCGCAGAGGCGCCGAGGGCAGCTATGAGACTGGAGTTGAATGTTTGTACCTGTCACTGGATGACACACCCTCCCTCCCAGCTGGCAGCCAGCCCTGGGGGTGGCGATGCCGGGCGCGGAGGCGCCGGCGCAGCCGCCGAGGGCAGAGATCGGCCAGTGCTCGCTGCACTCGCCCTCCTCCTCCTCCCGCCCCTCTGTGCCATGAACCAGCTTTAACCCGGGGGACAGAGCTGTGTGGAAGGAGTGTCCCACGCCAGCGTGCTGCTGGTTTGCTGGCCTGTTGCATTCAGGTGTACCCTGGCTCTTGTTTCCATTCCGAGCAGGGGCAGCAGGAGCTCAGCACCCACTGACTCATCTCCGGAGCGGCGTCGGGCAGCAGCGGCCGTGGAAGCCAAGGGTTGGAGTCTCCCCTGCAATGCCACCTTCCCAACGTGTTCGTGAGGATGGAAGTGTCTCCTGCTGCCTGCCAGAGGAGCTCTGCTTCCAGAGAGCTGCTTGTGTTTACAGGGGTCTCGGCTCACCCCAGATCTCTGGGCCTTCTTCCCGGGAGGAAGGCACCGGTTGTAGATACAGAAGAGGCACTGAAAATGTGGGCAGGGACCCGCCATCTCCAGTCATCACACCCCCCTCCTCCTCTCAGATGTCGTTATTTAAGCAACAGTAAATCCCTCTGAACCTGGAAACACGGACTGCCCACGTCCTGGGGGGTCACCTGCCTGTGCCCCCGTGTCTCTTAGCGATGGTACTTAGCTTTTGCACAGGAAATGCTGTAGCATACAGACTGTACATACCTAGTGTTTAGAACCCCCTGGGGATTTTTGATGCATGTCTGAATACCGATGAGTTTATAGGAAAAAAACAAAAAACAAAGACAAGTTCAAACCAGTGTGTATAAAATCCACAACCAGTGACAATGTTGTTCCGAGTGCTGGATAAAGGAGGCTCGGGGCAGCCAGGTGGGCACTGGCTGCAGAGCAGGGGCAGGAGCCTCCTGAAGGAGCCAGTTCTGGGTTGGAAGTGGGAACCAGGAAGGAGCCCTGTGCCCAGCTGAGCCACCCTGTCCTCCCACCCACTCCTCTCTCCTCTCCTCTCCTCTCTCTGTTGCCAAATGTTTTTCTCTGGGGGTCTCTGTTGGGACCCTCAGTGCTGTGCTTAGAGAGCTGTGCTTTGGCAGGACCCCCAGCCAGTCCCTGTCCCCAGTCCCGCCATGCTGCTGCCAGCAGGGCAGGGACAGCCCAGCGTGGAAGGGCAAGGCAGGGGTGTCATTTCCCACACACACAGTGTTAACCCCAATCTGTTCAGTGTGCCTTATTCAGCCCTTCTGTCCCCCCTCTGTGTCCCATCCTGCCCATCTCACATCTCTGTCCTGCTCCAGTGGTTTGCAGCTGGATTGTGGGTGTGAGTGTGTCCTGCAGGTTTTGCCAGACCCTCCTCAGCTCCCTGTCACGTGGTCACAGGTTTTTACAGGGTTCTGACAAAATCCTGCAGGTTTAGGGCAGCAGCTCCCAAGGAATACAGACATGGAGTTTCACAGAGCATCCTTAACTTATTTCTCAATAGCAGCTCTGTGCCTGCTAAAGCCTCTGTTTGTTCTGGGTGAATCAGAGCTGCGCTCCTTTTCTTCTCCAGACAGATTGCAAAGCCTTGGCCAGCTGTGCCTGGCTCTCAGGAGGGAGTGACAGCCTGGGGTTCTACCCTGCTTGGTTATTTTCCTGAACACTCAGGCACGTGGCTCACACAGTGGCCAAGCACAGAGAGACCCCTGCCCATGAGGGCATCTGGGGAAGGGCAGTGTGGGGTCCTACACAGTTCTGTGCAGCCCCAGAGCAGGAGGAGCAGGAATTTTTCATGCTGAACTACGGTGTTTGAGCCAGAGCACTTCAAAATGGGTTTATTTTCATGGCACTGAGGGCATTGGAGCTGTGTGTTCTGTCCAGCCAAGGCTTTGCAATCCCCAAAGGCTTCCCAGGAAGTAATATCCATGTTTCCTTTGTAAATAAGATCTTTTAAAAGCCCAGCATGGTGCAAAGGGTGATGAATACACCCAGGATGTGGTGTGGGCTTCCCCCTGGTGGCTCTGAGGAGCCCTTGGGTGCAGTGGCCAGGCTGTCCTGGGAGGGCTGTGTGTGCTGGTGGCTCTGGAATCACAGCCCTGGGGTTCAGAGGGACACGAGGGGGCAGCTTCTCTTCATCCAGCTGAGTGACCCTGTTACCTGAGGAGTGAGCAGGTGGCTTGGGCACACAGGACACCCCAAAACTGGCAGTGACTGGGGTTCCACAGGGCTCCACCCCTGGCCCTGTGCTCTTCAGCATCTTCACTGACAACCTGGACACAGGACTGGAAGGGATACCAAGGAACTTTGCTGACAACACTAAACTTGGGCACCACGATATAAAAAAAAGATATTAAGCTATTTGGGAGCATCCAAAGGAGGCCACAAGGATGGGGAAGGGTCTGGAGGGGCCACATGAGGAGCAGCTGAGGGCACTTGGTTTGTTCAGCCCGGAGGAGACTGAGGGGGGACATTGTGGTCTTCAGCAGCCTCACAAGGGGCAGGTGCAGTGACAGGACCCAAGGGAACGGCTGCAGCTGTGGCAGGGAGGTTTCGGATGGAAATCAGGAAGGAGTTCTCCCCCCAGAGGGTGGTGGGGCACAGCACCAAGCCTGTCTGAGATCAAGAAGTGTTTGGATGGGATTTTTGGGTTGTCCTGTGCAGGGCCAGGAGTTGGACTTGGTGATCCTGATGGGTCCCTTCCCAGCCAGCAGGAGCCGTGTCCAGGTTCTTCCCTGCACTTGAGCCCACCAGCCCAGTTAGCACCAAAGGAGGTCTTGGTCTCTGCCCTCTGCCAAGCCCCCAGAGCCAGAGGCTCAGCCCATGGGGATGGGGATGGGAGGTCTGAGTGCCCCCCAGCTTTCCTCCCCCTTCACCCCTTTCTGCTGTCATCCCCAGCTGAGCAGTGTCCCAGCCACAGCTCCTGGCTCATGTCCCACCCTCAGGCCAGGCTCTCAGGGCTGGAGGGACCTTAGAGAAGGGTCCCCTTGCCTGGAGCAGCTTCAGGTTTGCTGACCAGAGACCCCCCCCCCCCCCCACTCTCCAGGAGCAGTCCCTGGGGAGCAGAAACCCAGAACATCCTTGTGCAAGACTGGCCATGAGTGTGTTCCCATCTTGCAGGCAGCATCCCCAAGGCCATCACCTCTTTTTGGGGAGAGGGAAGAGTCTGAGTGCCCTCTCCACACGGGGCAGGGAGTGGGGAGAAGCCATGTCCCCAGTCACCAGCCCCCTGCCCCGGGCCTCTCCCCCAAGCTCCGTTGTATTATAGATTTACCACTAACCCCCATGGTGGCATCTTCCTGCAAACATTTCAGACCTGTAACTTTTATATTAAAGACAAATAAAACACCAGTAACGAGCCTGCCTGATGATCCTGTTTACAGTGCATGCACAGTCTGTGGATTAAAGTGACAATCGAATCCGCCTCTGGCGCTGGTGTGGCTTTGTGTTTTCTCATGTGCCCCCCGTGGTTTTCCTATGCCTGTGCCTCTTTCCCCCTTTATTTTTTCACTATAAATTTCTTCCCTCTCTCTGCCAAGATGGCTTTGCCCCAATACAAGCCATACACTTGGGAGGGGACATCTTCTCCTGTCACCTTCCCTGGGCTCTGGTGTCCCCGTGTCAGGGTTTTGGCTGCCCAGCTCCCAGCGTGTGCCCAGCCCGTGCATGGCCATGTGCCTGCAGCCAAGGGCTATAAATAACCCCTCCATGGAGCTATTTCAGTCCTGGACAGGGTTCAAAATTCCTCTGGAAATAATTGTCACGGGCCAGCTCAGGAGGAGAGTGCCCAGACACTGACCGAGCACGCGCCCCCCGCGCCAGGGCTGGAATGTGGGGCTGCATCCCAGGGAATCAGCTCAGCACGAGGGGTCTGCCCACAGCTCAGTGTGCCCCCAAACTGCCCAGCCAGTGGCACACCCAGGCCAGGGCCATGGGGAGATTCCCCTTCCCTGGTGCCCACCTGCTCTTGGGAAAACCCTGATTTCAGCTGTTGCAGGAGAACTGACCCTGAATTTTGTGGTGGGCAAAGGCCATGGCGAGGGGAGATGTAGGCCCTTAGTATGCAGAGAAAACAGAAGTTTTGGCTACAGCTGTATTTTATTTCAGTCTGGAAGCAGCAAGAGGTGGCAATACAGGGGGGGTGTTGTATGGTGGGGGGTGTGTGTGCAGAATTACTGTAGAACTGCATACATGAGTTTGTATCTTCTCACACTATTAATGACCAGCGAGGGCTTCCCACACACCTGTTACTTCTGCTCCACCTCCAGGCCCAATCCTACAAGATGCTCCCTCTGCACCTGAGTCCCATTGGCAGCTCCAAGTGAGAGCCCAGGGCAATGGGATTCAGCATCCTGCAGCAGAGCCTGATCCCGCCCATGGATCCAACACAGCTCGCTGCCCAGAGCTGGATCCAGCAGGATGCAGCATCTCCCTGCTCCGGGCTCCTCCTGCCCTGGGCTGAGCAGATGTCTGAAGGCTCCGGGGCAGCTCCTCGCCCTGCCGGGAAGGACGGATGCTGCCCCGCAGCCCCAAAGACACTTCACTGTCACTCATTTCTACACAAGGCTGTGGCAACTTCACCTGCCCGTGCCCCACACCCCCCCAGGGTGGAGCCACCAGGAGCTCTTGGCACCCTGGGGCTCAGGGTCCTTGTCACAGGTACAGGGACACCAGCACGTAGACGATCCAGCTGATGGAGGCGAACAACCCGAAGAGGAGGCTGATGAGGACCAGCGACTGCGCTTTTTTGGATGCCAGGTACGCCTGGGCCATGTCCCCACGGGCGAGCGCAGCCCGGGTCTGGGGCAGGGGGAGAAGGGGAGCGCTTAGAAGAGACCCGCAGCACCAGGAGGGGCTTCGGGGCTGCCAGGTGGGTCCTTGCTTACCTCGTGGGAGTAGACGAGGGCCATGACCCCGGTGATCAGGCAGCAGAAGAGGGTCACCAGCACCGACTCCACCGTGTAGTCCTTGGGCCGCTGGTGCCCGCGGCCGGCGGGTGAGGGCCCCAGCTGCGGGTGGTACTGCGGCACGGGGGAGGTTAGAGCTGAGGGAGCCCGAGGTGCTCCCCGCCGGGGCTGTGCTGCTCAGGGCGCCGCGGGAGCCCCACAAACCCGGCAGGGAGATAAAGGGTGAGGGCAGCAGCACACCGGGGTGGGGGATACGTACCGCGCTGTAGGGCAGCGGCCCGGGGGGGAAGCCCGGGGCTGGGAAGGGCCGCGGTCCCGGCCCCGGCGGGTAAATGACAGGGCCTTGCTGGGAATAGCCGGCTGGGAACGGCGGGTACAGGAGGTGGAAGCTCTTGGGGTCCGGGGGCGAGTAGGGTGGAGGGGCCCCCTCGAAGGCTGAGTTGGAGACCACCGACACGGCCACGGGCCTGTCGCCGGGGGCTGCGGAGGCGTCGCTGCGTGTGCCGGGGGTGGGCAGCGCCCCGGCCGTCCCGGTGGCAGCCCCGGCTGTCCCGGTGGGAGCCCCGAGGGTAGGCAGCCCCCCGGCCGTCCCGGTGGGAGCCCCAGCCGTCCCGGTGGGAGCCCCGGCCGCCCCGGTGCCATCCCCCGGCTCCGCTCCCCGCGCGGCGGGGCCGCGGGCCTGGGGCCCGGCTGGCGGCTCGCCGTCCATCCGCGGAGAGGCCTGCGGGGACAGGGAGACTCTGATGGGACGGGACGCTCCCGGCACGGTCACCCCCGATTCAGGGTGCCATGGGGCTGCCCTCGTGTTCCCCCCAGCGCCCCATCCCCGGCCCCACTCACGCCGGTGCCCGCGGGGTCCCAACCGCCGCCGCTCGGGCCCGGCCCGGTCCGGCCCCGCCGCGGCCCCCGAGCCCCGCGTGGCCCCGCGCGGGCGGCGGGCGCGCAGCCGGGCCGGTTAATCATTGACCCGGCTGTTTGCCCAGCGCCTGTGGGCGGCGCACCGGCCGGCCCGGCCTGCAGCACCTCTGGGGCTCTGGGTGCGCAGGGGGCCGCGACCCGGGCAGGCAAACGGGGCTGGACAGCGGCTCCGGGTCCGTCCGGCCCGTGGAGCCGGTGCTGGGCGCAAGGCAGTCAAGGAGCTTCAATTTGTTCGCGTTTAAACATATGATTTGGTTTTATTTTAGAATATTGTATTTACATGTAGAATGTGGGGTGTGTTCCGGCTCTACTTATATACAAAATGTATATAAAATTCTGCATATTGTAGCTATAGCTATTAATATTTAGCATGTGTGTGCGGCTATCTCTATCGCACCCACGCACAGGATGTGTGTGCACACACTGTGTGTAGGTGTCTTACCCATATGTGTATTTATGCGTCCTGGTGTCTCTGTGTTGGACCTTCAGGTGTTTCTTCACAGTTCCTGTGTACCGCGCTCTGCACACACCTGCACTCGGGAACAGGTGTGAAACATGGGTACAGGTGTAAGACTCAGGGGACTCAGGTACACACACACGTGGCTACGGGTGTCAAACACGGATGGAACAGGTGTACACATGCACATGCTTACAGGTATAAAACACACCCGGAACAGGTGTGAAACACACGGAACAGGTGTACACATGCACACGGGTACAGGTGTAAAACACAGGGAACAGGTGTAAAATACACGGAACAGATGTACACATGCACATGGGTACAGGTGTCAAACACACAGCTGGGGACAGACGCACTCTCATACACGCGCTCACACAGGTGTCTGGGTAAGACAGCGTTGTCTGTAACAAGCCAGAGCCGTCCGGCTGTCCATCTGTCCGTCTGTCCGTGCCGGTGCTCCGGCCCCGGGGCTGAGCCTGCCGCGCTCAGCGCACGTGGCCACGCCCCCTCACGGTCACGCCCTCACCCAGGCCCCGCCCCCCAGCCCGCTCCACCTCCGGCCCCGCCCCCCGCCGTCCATCCCGCCATGGCGTCCGCCGGCGGCCCGGACGCGGAGCGGCCGCACCCCAAGCCCTTCCTCATCGGCGTCAGCGGCGGCACCGCCAGCGGCAAGGTGAGCCCGCCGTGCCGGGGCCCTGCCGGAACCCTGCCGGGGCTCGCTCCCGGGCAGCCCGCGCGGCGCGGGACCTGCGCGGCGCCCGCAGGGGCATCGCCGGCGGCGGCCCCAGGCTGCGCCCCGGGCTGAGGGCGGGCTGGGGGCCGGGCCGCGGGAAGGGTCGGGGTCCCACCGCCCCGGCTGAGCCCCCGTCCCGCTCAGTCCACAGTATGCGAGAAGATCATGGAGCTGCTGGGGCAGAACGAGGTGGAGCAGCGGCAGCGCAAGGTGCTGATCCTCAGCCAGGACAGCTTCTACAAGGTGCTGACGGCCGAGCAGCAGGCCAAAGCCCTCAAGGGACAGTACAACTTCGACCACCCGGGTGAGCCGCCACCGGCCCGGCCCCAGCAGGGTTTGGTCCGTGCTCGGAGCGCAGCTGAGTCTTACGGGAAGTCCCTGTAGGAAATGGGAAGTGTTGGAGAACAGAAATGTGCTTTCCCCCAGCAGAACATCCATTTGTCCTTCCCTTGTGCCCGTTGTTACTGACGGCCCTTCTGGAGCCGTGCAGAGGTGCTGAGCATCCCAGCCTGCTCCCTGCTCCACTCCTCTTGAGAGGCTCCCTAATGAACCACATCATTCCCCAAATCCTTTCCTGTTACTTCTTGTCCACACAAACAGCTGCTCCCCTTGCCCGGGGGAGTGCTGTGGATTGTAGGCGGGACAGGGAGCTGCCCTTGGCTGAAGTCTGGTGCCTGTTGGGTGGGTAATGGAAACCATGAAAGATGCCTGGGGTTTTCCAATTGGCTCTTGATTAACAGATTAACAAAGTTGCACAAAATTGCGCAATTACTAAGCGGGTTGATAAAATTATAAAATGACCGGCTTCACCTTTGAGCTATTAATTTCATTGCGTTGTAGTTGCTTGTGAACAGCAAACTGTCTCTTCCTTATCTCTGAAACCAAACACAGCCATTGTCACTTGGGCAGAGAGTTCTGTGGTGCTAGTGGTAGGAAAGAATGGGCTCCAAGTTCCTTTTTTCCTGGTGAAATACTGGGCAGAGGGTTTTTCCTTTGGGTCTGGAAAAATCTGAGCAGATCATTTGCTGCAACAGCATCTGAAAGTCCTTCTCTTTGAACTTTCCTCCCGCAGATGCCTTCGATAACGAATTGATGCATTCAACCCTGAAAAACATTGTTGAGGGCAAAACGGTTGAGGTACCAACGTACGACTTCGTGACACATTCTCGGTAGGCTCTGCCTTTTTCTGGGCTGTGTGGGGGTGTCCCCAGCCTGGGGACAGAGCCTGTTTAACAGCTCTGGGTGTTCCTTCCTGGCAGGTTGGCAGAGACGACGGTGGTGTATCCTGCTGATGTTGTTCTCTTTGAGGGGATCCTGGTGTTCTACAGCCAGGACATTCGGGACATGTTCCACCTGCGGCTCTTTGTGGACACGGACTCTGACGTCCGGCTGTCCCGCAGAGGTAAAGCCCTGCCATGCCCCCGCTCCTTATCCGTCCCCACCATGGGACAACAGTCAGGGCTTTTATCTCTCCTTCCCAGTTCTGCGAGATATGAAGCGTGGGAGGGACCTGGAGCAGATCCTCACCCAGTACACCACATTTGTCAAGCCTGCCTTTGAGGAGTTCTGCTTACCGGTACGAAGCCTCTCGCTAATTTCATTTGTGGGATTTTCTTTTTTTGGGGAGGGGTAGAGGAGCAGGGTTGTCTGGGAATTAGCTGCTGTAGGGGCAGTAGTGGTGACTTTTGGTATTTGTGTTTCACAAATCCCACGTTCTCCTCTCTGCCTCATGTCTTCAACCATTTCAAGCTGGTTGTTAAGGAACTGAAATGGTCTCTTCTGCTGGCAAAGCACCGTGGAAATGCCTCAAGCAGGTTTTCTCACTGCTGGCTGCTGGGGCTATTTAAGTATGGGTCTCTCTGAATGAAAGACTCCCACTCTCAGTTTATTCTTAAGTCTTGTAGGAAGAAAGAAAAGCTTGGTTTCCAACAGCCTTTCTCAGAGGGAACACTGGTGAAAACCTGGGGCCGAACATTCTAGCTCTGCTTGCTACACCATGTAGTGTGAGGCCAATTTAGGTACTAAAATAATCAAATTAATTTGTAAAAAAGCCCTATGAGAACAAAATCCAGTATGTGGATTAAATAAATTGAAAAAGGCTAACTCAGGCGCCTCTTGCCCTAGATCAAAGGAATTCTGGGATTCTAAAACTACTCATTAGAAATGCTGAATTTGTCGGCTTTTTTGAGCTGTGGGGAGGAAGAAAAAGCAGGAGCGCTAAAGATCAATAAAATGTTATCAGAGGCAGGCAGGAATTTCACATGAACGTTGGCTACCTTGGCTCTCAGCAGAGATTTACAATGCCTTGTGAAATGCTGATTAAAACCAGCTCTTGGCAAACAAACCTTGCCTGACATGGGCAGTGTTTGAAGGCAGCTCAAATGGTAAAAGCAAAGGACTCCACACCTGACCTGCTGTTTCTACCTGGTAATTCTCTGCACAGGGACAGTAAGAAGAGTCCCTGAGCTTAAATCCAGTGCACATTTGCCAGTATGATATTGGAATTTATTTAGGTTGTTACCATGAGAGAGAGCTTTAACTTACATCCCTGGAGCACTTCCATCTTTGCCCAGTTTTCTGGTTGCTTCTTCCTGGAATGAAGCTGACTTTTCCCATTAACAGCCTCCTCCACCACTGTTTCTGTTTTGCAGACAAAGAAGTATGCAGATGTGATCATCCCCAGAGGCGTTGACAACATGGGTAAAAGGGGTTCCCTCATTTCCCTGGGGAGACACCTTTGGGGCTGGGAAGAGGGCAGGAGGAGTGCCTGCTCCTGAGGAAGGGGTTTTGCTGGAGGGGAGGGAGCTGCTCAGCCTGTGGAGGGCTGCAAAAGTGACCTGTTGAGGTCTGACCTCTTTGCAGACAGCAGGCAGAATTTCATTTAAGGGCTTGTTAAAACTTGAGCAGGGCTGGATGCTCCACATCTTCTAGATAACTCATCCAGGAGAGCCTTCACGTTCTCTATTCCCCGTTCCTCTCTGCAGTTGCCATAAACCTGATCGTGCAGCACATCCAGGACATCCTGAACGGGGACATCTGCAAGTGGCAGCGGGGGGCGCTGAACGGGCACGGCCGGACGTACAAGCGGCCGTTCCCGGAGCAGGCGGAGAGCGCCGCTGTGCTGGCGGCCGGCAAGCGCTCCCACCTCGAGTCCAGCAGCCGCCCGCACTAGCCCGGCACGGCCCCAGGCTTTGCCTCTGCTCCACACCAACACCGAAGACAACTTTGGCAAAGGACTTCCACGGAATGGTTGGTGAAGTGCCCCTTAAGTCGTCCTAGCAGCGGAGGGGATCCTGGTGGGAATCTTCTCGCAGAGGGGAGAGGAAGGGGTTGGCCTTCCATCCTGCTTCCCTCAAACCCCTCCCTGTTCTCTCTGAGATGTCTGGAGTTGTTACTTGATGAACTGGTTAAAGGCAGTGTTACTTGCCTTTTTTTAATTTTCAGAATGAGATCTAATGCTGAAGATTCCCCTGAAAATTAAGCACTATCAGGTGACTAGCAAGATACCCCATTGCCCTGATGATGGTTGTCTGTAGCAGGAAAATCATCTGCCTCTTGGGTGTTTTTCTCTCTATCCAAGACTAGCTCACATGCTGTTAATTTTAACAGGCTCTGACTCTTCTCCACCTTGTTGGCACCTTGAGTTGTGGCCATGCTCTGCTGCTGGCCACCTCCTTCCAGCCTGTAGAGGCACCTCTCCCTTGAGACAGGGCTGAGACAGAGACTGACTGGGACAAATGGGAACTTGCAGTTCACCAGGGGACAGGCCCAAGAAGTTTAGTGGTTCTAGTGATTCCTAATTTATTCCTTTCCAAGCTCCTGAATCTTGCTACACTGTTCGGTTGTTTTTTGTACCCAGTGTGCTTTACCACAGTTACTGAATGTGTGAGCTCCAACTGGATTGAGTTGCTCATGGAAACAGAACCCTGACCTTGTCAGTATTAGTGTCTTTTAGTGCATTTCTGTACTGCTGGTTGCAAATTCTGCTGGGCAGAATCCGTCCACTTCCAGAGATGGCTGGTGAGGTCAGCAAGGGGGGAAACTGGGAATTGCAGGACCCTCCTCCTGCTGGCACTGGCAGCTGCCTGGACACCCTCAGACAGGGCCAGAGCACTTGCCTTGCACTCCAGCAGCTTCAGCTCAAGAATGTCTGGCTTTCTAAAAAGAGCAGACAAGAAGTACAAACAGTGATATCCCAGTTTCTGTAGTTTACCCCAGATAAGTGATACTGCAGCAGCATGAAGAGTCTGTTTGGAAAAAACTGCAATGAAGTGCTGGTTGGACCTTTGAAAATGTCCTTGTGATACTGTTCTTGAGTCTGGACTTAAGGTGTAATTTTGAGAATGAGGGTGGGAGAGAAATGTTACTAACAGGAACTTTTTCATATTTGGTAATTTTCTACAAGCAGGGTTTGGCTGTGTTGGTTGTGGGTGTGTTACTTTGGCTAATAAATAAATGAACAGTGATCAGAAATGACCATTTTTATAAAAGGTAATTCTGGTACATTCACTATGCCAGCAAAAAGGCACAGAAAGGAACATTGCTGGAGGGGCTCTTCTATTCAACAGTTCTTCCTCCCCTTAACTCAGAATTGTTACCATTGGTTCTGTTGTGGCTGAAAATTTAGAGAAAAAAACCCAAACTTAAGAAATGAGTCTGCACTTCCATCCCTATAGTATTTTCAGCCTTGGAGAAAGGGGTGGAGGGTTGGTGTCTCAGTGACAGTTCAGTGGTACTTGTGCAGTGCCCAGGAGAAGGCAGAGCATTTCCTGACTGCTGCTGGCTGCTGTCTAGCTCAGGGTGACAGACTTAGAGCATGAGCTACTGCACTGAAGCATCAGCTCTCAGGGCTGATTCCAGTAGGAGCAAAATAGTCACTAAAACCTGCTTTGAATGTCTGTGGTGTTGGATCATACCTTTCCTGGGGGGTGGGGGAGCCTTGAATAGAATTTTTTAGAGCAGTGAGGAGCTGCACAGCCCCTGGGGTGTGGGAATGCTGCTCTGGCAGCTTTGTGCTGCCCTGCAGGACCTGCTGCTGCAGCCACGAGGAGATGCAGCAATGGAATGTGGCCCAGGTACTACAGCCCTGCTCAGACACCTCGACAGAGCCATGACAAATTCCCCACTGAGTCCCCAGTGCTTCACCTTTGCCTTCTCTTGTGAATTCTCTGCTGCTGCAGGCCAGGCCATGGGCTGGGTTTCAGTGTTTTCACCCTGAACCCACGTGCACAAGCTGGAGCAGGTTTCCTTGTCAGCAGGATCAGTCCTACCCTGCCCACAGTTCCTTTTCCCATGGGATCTGAGGTGTAATGGCAATACTGGCACTGCTGGTAACAGGCCTCAGGCTTCACATCAGTGCCACATGGCCAAAGGATTATTCTGGCTTTGGCTCAATTCCTGGCTTGCCTGAAGCCTTCTTTAGCTGTAACAGCAATTCTTAATGTCTTTTTATTTTGCTTATCTTCTTAAAAGTGATGCTTATGTCAGATGATTATAAATAGATAATAGTAACAAGTCATTATTCTATGCAGAACAAACTATTTATAAATGTAGCTTAATGCTGTGTTTACATAAATAGAAATGATAGCAGAGCATTGGAAGTTGGGGGCAAATAATGCATTGTTGAGGAATAGAGTCATGGAATGATGCTGTAAGGCTGCAGGGCCAGTTACTGATTGTTAAAGATGAACAAGCCTTAGAGAGGGAAATCTGGGTTTCAGGCATAACAAAGAAAATAGGAAAAAAGTATCTGATGTGTTGTAGAGTCCATTTATAATAAGCATATAATGGGATTGCAGACCACAGTGATAGGAAACACATGAAATGGCCCTAAGTGCAATGTAGTGCCAGAAGGAAGAAACCACCACAGTATTTCCAGGAAAGAGAAGAAATTGTTGCAGCTCTTCCCAGCAAAGGAGCTGGGATGCTGTTGACTAAAGTCAGCAACCTTCACACCCTGAGGGGCAGTGAGGGGTGAATGTAACAGGGGCAGAAACTGGAACTGTGCTCATAACAGCTGTATTACTGCTGAGACCTTTTCTGTAACAGCATTCCTTTATTTCCTCCTGTAATCATTAGATCTGGACTACTACCAAATACCTGAAGCGACTGTTAAGATTTCCATGATGCTAACAATAAATTCTTGCCTTTGCACAAGTGTTTCCCTTTGCTGTAGCCAGGCTGGAGTGGTCACTGCTTTCTGATCAGGATGTTCCACGTGTCCTTCCAGCGCAGGGCCCTGAGCTCCGCGAGGGCCAGCGCGGGCTGCCCGTAGGTCAGGGGGCTGAAGGTGCAGTACACAAAGTACACCCAGGAGAGCCAGGCCACAACCAGGGCACTGAACATGCTCTTGAGCAGCACAGATCTGGGATCAGAGAGGGAAAGAGCACTCAGGTTACATCAAGGCTGGCCAAACACTTCATCCAAAAGACCTAAAGGCAAATGACAGAGTTTGGCCACTGCTGGAAAAATCACTGCTTTCCCTGCAGCAGCCCTGGAGAAAGAACTGTGCCAGTCCTCCTGTTCAAGAGAACTATTCTGCTGAAGCCAAATACCTGCAGAGGTGATCGCTGAGATGCTGCAGTACCACAGGAATCAGGAGAATCTGGAATGTGACAGCAGGCAGGTAGTGGTACAGGAAAAGTGTTTTCTCCATCAGGAAGAAGGGCAGGTAATTCACAGCCCAGCCTCCACCACAAATGCCTCCCGCTGCCATCCAGAGCTGCCAGGCATCTGCAGGAGACAGGAGATGGCATCTGAGAGCAGAGCAAGGCACAAGGCTCCAGCTGGACACACACACACAGCAGCCAGACCTTCAGGGATGTCGTAGATCTTCCTCCTCCGCCGCAGCAAGTACCACAGGGACAGACACACGTACACCAGAGCAGCAGCATTAGCTGAAGCCCAGGTGGCAACATTCCCAAGGAGGTGGATCTGGGCCTGCAGGATAGATGATGGTCTAAGCCAGAAGCAGGAACATGCTGTGGTTCTTTTAGGTAAGTTTAAATATTACCTACACAAACTTGCTAAATTAAGCTCCAGAATGAGCCTGCCTAGTAACCTGGAACAAAGCTGGTTGATAAACTTTGCTGCTTTAGGACTCTTGTGTAATGGAAAGCATTTAAAGGATGCTATTGGAGATGAACTCATCTTCTAAATGAAATCAATAATGGAAACTATTAAACTGCAATTTACCTTTAAAAAAAAGGCACAAGCAAACATGATTTAATTAAAAGCAACTACTGTCAAAGCTGTATCTCGTGCTAAAACAAATACCTCATCCCTCATGGAAAATATATTAATACAGAGAAAGTCCTTGGCTGGAAGCTGCAGCCCTGCTCTGACTCCTGCTCCTGGGGCTCACATCTGAGCTGTTCTGCTTTCTCAAAGGCTTCACAGCTACTTCTGCCTCTCATGCTTACCCCTGAGGTGGGGTGGAGCCAGTAGGCAATATTGGTGTCCATTGTGATCCAGTCCAGGGCAGAGGAGCTGTACTTATGTTCTGTGTCTTCATTTTTTAATGTGAGTATTTTCCACTAGGAAAAAAAAAAAGGTAAGCAGAAGGCTTTCAGCATTGGAACAACAGGTGGGACAGCAAGCATGGGTGAACAGCTCCAGATGTAAGATGTTAAGTTCCTAAGCTGGGAGTGGAGAAATATTTTACATATCTCATATGGATACTGATCAATTCAATTGTTTTATTTTGTTATTAAATAATGCACTTTCCTTAATGGATTTCTACAAAGATAGTAAGGGGCATCAACACTACTCACTGCATGTACCACACATTGCAGTTCAGTTTCAGGCAGCTTCTGGGTGCCCAACCAATTTTCCTCCCCCCTTTTTGTTACACAATCACTTGGGTATTCATTACTGGACAACCCAGGTCTTTAATGCCCTTATAAGTGCATTCAGAAACATTTTTTTACAGTGAGGAAGCCAAACTATCAGCAAGGATTAAACAATGAATTCTCAAGCTCAGTCTGCAGAAATGCTGAGGTTCCTGCTCTGCAGCAGAAGGAAAAATGAAGGGAATAACAAGACACTCACCTGCAATTCTGTGAACTTTGCCATGAAGCTGAGGTTTTTACTGATGTCCATCTGAGTGGGGGAGTGGAGTTCCACTTCCCTCTCTTTTTGCTCCTGGCCTGGAAGAAAACAGCAAAGCTCAGAAATAACCACAGAACAGGCAGAAAGCTAGAGAGGGGAGAGAGCACACAGGCTCCTCACTCTCCCAGGAGCCCTTCTCCAATACATCACCCAACTGCAACAGCACTTGAAGGGACTTTGTAAGGATTCTGACTCCATGGTAGAGCGAACTGAACACACACACAGGACCACCTTCCCACCACCATGAAGTGAAACCTGCTTCAGGAACATGGCTGAGACATACTTTTGCCATATCTGTGCTCTTCCACATTCCACAGCATGCTCTGGTGGTAGCCTTTGGACAGCTTCTCTCCAACCACCTCCAGCTGCCGGTATCCCCACTCAGGCAGAGATGCTCCACTCAGCTAAAAGAGAAAGACAACTGTGAACTTGTAAACTGAAAGTTCTACCAGTCTGAACTTCAGGATGGAAGAAATTCTGCCTGAGCACGGGATGACAGCAAGGGACTGCTAGATAATGTGTGAAGAGTCACCACGCAAAACTCTGAATAAACACTACAGCCATAAAATCAGTGATTCTGGCAAACTTTGTGAAGAAAAAGATCCTTAATTATTCCAGCTGCTCTCACAAGCACACAGACTCAGCATCAGTTTGTAAGCCCCAGTTGTGTAGAGTGGTCACAGCCTCTTGAGAAGCAGGACAGCTTTGATACTGAGAGGGATGAAGTACCAGTGTGATAACCCAAAACATGCTCTTCTGTCACACTGAGCCATTGTTTCCTTTAATTTACTCACTTGGTTATTCGTTACAGTGGTGTAGCTATTTTGGAGCGGAGTTTTTGAGTCACAAGAACTGCATGAAGCAAAAGCTACAAGCAAATGAACATAACCCACTTGCCTTTAGCACTGCAGAGGTGTTCACGTGAACAAACCTCACTTCTGACAGAATTGTCTTCCACACGTCCGTGTCAGACTCACGATTTACAATTTCCTACAACAGAAAGATGATTTTGATCCACATGGTCTCAGCTGTTTCTGCTGGAGCACGATCAGCTCCTCCTGCCCCTCTGACCACTCACCACTCTCCAGAGGTTCTGTGCTGGCATGGAGATGTTATAATCAATATAGCAGGAAACTTCTTGGGAGTGGGGGCTAAGAGGAGCAGCAACATCATGCCTAGAAAACAAATAAAGGAAGATCTTCCACCACCATTTCCCAAATACATATAAAAGCAAACCCATATGGAATTGGCTTAGACTGGATTCAGTAATAAAGCAAAAAGTAACTCATTTATTGGGTTAGCACTGTTTACTCTGAGAGAGAGCATTCCCCACAACCAAGAGCTGCCAGGAACAGGCTCAGAGGAAGCCAATGCAGATGCCTGCGATGCCAGGCTGAAGAACAAGCACTGATTGTGACAAACAGAGCCGCTGTTCACTGGGGTTTCCAATAATAAACAAATTAGATTTGGAAGGGACATAGCAAAAACCCAAGCTCAGAACAACCCCCTTCCTAATCTGAGTGATATTCAAGTACACACAGATGCCCTTTGGGAAGCAGTCAGGAGAAAACTTCATACTGCAGGCTTTCAAAACAGGAAGGAATCTCTGGCAAACAGCCACAGCACACCAGATTGTCCAGCACATCCTCCTAACACATCCTTCAGGTAGGAGCACGCTATCAAAGTCAGTGGAGCTGGATTTGGGTTAAGTCACAGAAAATACTGAATTCCTGCACCTGTCCAGAGTGGGGGCAATGAAAGGGTGAGGATGAAGACTGACAGAGGGGATCCTGTATTTAGGAATCTGAAGAACTACCATGGAATGTGAACAACTGTGAAATCCTCTAAAGGCCACTAGTAGGGAAGAACAGAAGCAGTAAGCAACCATTAAGAAGTTTGTAACTAGGATCAAATCCCACTGCCAAGTCAATTAGAAAAAATAAATAAGCATACAGCATCCTTCCTCTGGGCCACAGGGATGGCATATGGCACTAACCACATGAGGTCACTCCAAGGCACACTGGTGTAAAAATCCACAAATAACAGGCATTTTATGGCACTTCTGAATGCAAGGTCACTAAGTGGTTATTCTGAGAGCCAACCCAGCAGAATGAGGCAGCAGACTTGGCAGAGCAGAGCAGGAGGAAAGGACTTACGTGTTGAGGTAGCGAGTTGTGATGCCATGGACCAGCTGCACGATGTGCCCGTGCCTGACAGGCCGGGGGGGGTTACTCACCACCAGCTGCTGCCTGGGGAAGGGACACCCAACAGCAAATGGTTAAACTGGAAATGGTTCCATTATAAACACCTTTATATAGACCACAACCTTGTCATGACCAAGGTGTTAGGTCAAGAAGCTGCAGGCGGGGACAGACATTTGGGCAAGAAAATGAGAAATTAAAGCAATATATAGGTTGTACCAGAATGGAAGCAAAGCTCATCAAGTCAAAGGTGAGTTAAGGGCAGAATGAGTCAGAGGATCAGTAATGGGATACTGACACTCCAGGCATTAGGTCAGTGGTCTGAATCCAGGTCAGTCAGGAGTGAATTAAGGTTATTACTGTCACACAGCTGTTTGGTGGCTTGTGTGAAACACTGAGTGCTTCAGTGAGTCTGATGGGTGCTGCACGACAGCAGGTGTCACTTTGGCAGAATTACAGGAGAGATCAATGGCTTTTACACCGTATAAACTCTCACCTGGCTTCTGGACAGGGCCATGGCAAGGGGGAACTGCAATTCACTGAACTGCTGCCTGTATTTTACTGTTCCATAGAAGAAATTCACATCCTCCAATGCTCATAGGAGTCTTCTGAGTTTGAAGAATTTTAAGAATATATTTGGGTGGTTCTGTTTGAGTCCCTACTTGAAAGGTTTGCACTATGGACAAACTTTCCCAACATGGATATGACTTCTAATGGCACAGAGTCCTTCTGACAGGACTCTTTATACAGTTCTCAGAACAACATAAGAAATCTACAAAAGCAACTTTTTGATCAGTATGGAATTATGTCACTCAAAGGCTTTTACTGACAAAACAAGGACAGAGAGTCCTGCTCTGCACTGACAGTGACAATGGCAAACACTTCAGCACAAACCAGGCCCCAGGTACAGGCACCACTTGGAATCCTTCCCTATGTGGCAGATCTTACAGCTCATTCCACACTTCTAAAACAAAGAACTACTCATTTTTCGAAAGTGTTTTCTACTCTTTTCTGAGACTCATTCAAGTTTGATAAAACTCATCAAGACACTCTAACACCATGGCTTCAAAGGGAAGCAGAGCTTCCCTTTCATGCAAAACACCTGAAGAATCTCCAGTGGTCCTGTGAGTCTTTCAAGTTCCACTTGTGCACAGCACAGCCCATGTTCTGGCAGGAGCAGTTGAGAAAGGATTTTAGAGCCCTCAGTAGTGCTTTTACCACATTGTGCAAAGAGCTGCAATCAATTGCCCAGATCACACCAGGCTTCTGCACCCATAAGCAGAGAAGAGTTATGTCCAATCCAATCCAAGCCCTGGTTGGGTTTTGGAAGCATATAGGTTGAATTTAAATCTCTTGCATACTCACATCCCAGGATCTTTGACAATCCACCAGTTGTTCACATCCTTGAAGGGATAGCAGGTCACCTGCTGCTGATGGGAACTCCCTCGGCCATTCTCATACCTGCACAGGGAGTAACAAAACCCCCCAGAGGTGTAAAGGCACAGCTCTGTGCTCAGCAGTGCCAGCAGCACAAACCAGCAGCACATCACTGATCATCCCCACAGAGCACAGGGACTCTGAAGGATCAATGAAAACACTGCTACAGTTGGACTGGCAGGTGAAGAAGCAGAGCTGCCCCTCCCCACAGAGACCCAGGCAGATTCCTCACCTGATGGGGTAAGTGTTGGTGTGAGAGTGCAGCCAGCACTGCATGGGCTTGCCCAGCACGTTCCTCAGGGTGATCTGGGAGCCGTAGGCCACCTCTAAGGGCTGACCCTGGGTGATTCGAGCCAGCCCACCCTGAGAAGGGCAAGGACAGGGGAAGTACAAAGGAGAAACAACCCAGAGACTGTTTAAATTCTATTGAGTCACATCCCAGTTCAACACAGCAGTATCTTCACACAGTGCCTTCTCATTTGATTTTATCTACTAAAATCAGGTCTTGCAGCACCATACTCAATAGACAGTAAATACATCAACACCTAAAAAACTAAAATACTACAGGGTGTCAGGAAATATCCCTAAAGCCATGTTCTAAAAGACAGGCTAAGCACTCCTATAGTATACCATGTCACCACATGAAAGTTCAGTACTGTATCTGCTTCTGTGGAGTTTCCTGTAGGAAGGGACAAACCTTCAGCAGAAGAGTGAATATATTGCTCTTGCTTCATTGGGAAAAGGTTTTCATCTGCTATTAGGATTTCAGTCCTAATATTGCTTCACCTTAAAGCAGTACTACAGCAGCAAAATAGTTATATGACATAAAAGGGGCAAAATATGCAGGATCAAAGGAACAGGATTAAACACCACCTAATAGTGAACATTTTCCCCTCTTGTCTCTAATAAACCAGCTCCAAGACCACATTTCCTTTACCTCTAAGCTGGCTTGGAAAGCACTTGTCATGATCTGGTCGTGAGGCCCAGAGCGATAGAGCAAAGCCAAGTGAACGTAGAAGAAGGAGAGGTACAGCCCCATGGGGATGATGATGAGGGCCAGACCCCGGGCTAGAAAATGGCACAGCAAGGAAACCTGGAAGAACAGAGAAAGCTCACTTGTTTCATGCTCTAGATATTAAAAATTACAGAGCACTTAGCTTTATTTGTTTGTCTTTTCTAAGTTTTCCCCACTGCTCTCATTCAGCCGTAACTTTGTGGACAACTGGGTAACTTCCAGCAAGGATTTGAAGTGGAGCTGGCAGGAGTGTGTGAGACAAGTGCATGTTTGAGTCACTCATCACTAAGACATGGATAACAGCAGAAAAGACAGTCACACACACATATTTTTCTTAATTCCATCTTCCCCAGAAACTAAGCTGGGAACTGTGCTATGACAGGAGGGTTTCCAGACAAGGAATTTTAGACAAAAGCCAGCTACAGACTGCACTGTTATCTGTGGGCTTCAAAGGCTCCTGCAATGAAAGTGACAATTAATATATTTTGCATGCTGTGCTACATACATTTGACAAGTTCTGGTCTCCTATCATGTGCCAGAAGTGGAGTCCTGCAGTGGCCAAGAGCAGCATATAGGTAAACAGGCCCATATATTTCACTCTGAAAGTGCATAAAAAATGAACATGGTTAAAAACTACACTATTACCTAATACAAGATATAAATATTCTAACATTCTCTTGAACAGTAGGCATTAAAGTCCAGGTAAGACATCATCACTTACCCAACTGCACAAGAACAGGCTACTCCAGTCAGCAGGAGCCAAAACCACCAGCTTCCAGAGAAGGCACTTAAAGGTAAATGTATTAAATCACTTGCTAGGCTCAATTTAAAGATAATTTTACCTTACTAAGGATTACTTCATCCTCTGAAAGGATCAGAGAACAAAAGACACAAATATCTCTAAATTCAGTGCCTGTAAACACTTACAAAGGAGAATTAAGTGACCTGTTATCATCAGTGTTTCTGTGCACAGAAGGAAACCTTCCAGTAAAAAATCTGGGTGGGCAAAGAAATGCTCCCAAGAGATTTTATTTCTATTTTAAAATTAAAAAAGACTAACAGTAAAAGCAGTCTTTAACAGTGCTCAGGAGAAGGATGCTGGGGCAGCCATATGAGAGGGTGAAGCATTGGATTTTACAGACAGGTGAAGTGAGTTTCAGAATTGTTAAGAGGCATAGAAAAACACAGTCTATGACAAAAAAAAAAAAAAAAAAAAGTCACCATGAGAGTATCCAAAAGGGTGGGAGACAATCCAGCTTTACCTGTGCTTTTGCAAATTGTAGAACTTCAGGTAGGACAAAACTGCAAGCAGGATAAAAAAAATCAGTATTGATTCCAGAAGCATGAACCTTGATTGAGTGATCAGAGAGTTTTCTGTTGGAAAAGAGAGACAGACACAAAATTAGAGAAACTTGTCTATAGGCAAGTGCTACCTCAGACAATCCCACTGTTATCCAACAGAAGGACCTTCCCTTTTAGGAACAGACAGCTCCTTCTGGCTGTAATGGGCAAGTGCTGGCTTTAGAGGGACAAAAACCTTCCAGCAGCAGCAAATTACATGGACATAACTGGTTCCAAGACAAAGAGGTGGGCAAGCAGTGAAGTCTATCAGAAGGCAGATAAAGCTGTTGCACTTCCTACAAAGGCAAAGAAAATCAGTCCTGGGAAATCTCTCTTCTCAAAGCAGAGAGTCCAGGCAGCAAGCACAGCAAGCAATGAGCAGCACAACAGATCTGCAGGAAAGGGAGCTGCAATGAGCCAGAATCAGAGAAGCTGGTAGCTAGGAGAAGTTTCCCTTATCAGGCTGCTAAAGAGCTGCTGAGAGGCTCCTTCCCTTTCAGGCAGCTGCCAGCAGCCCCTCAAAGAAAACAAAACCAGCAGAGCTGTACACACCAGAACAGTGTCAAATCACAGTGCTAAGGACACAGGCTGGTTTGCTGCAGTTTGGATTTGAAGAAATCTGATGAGCTCTGACTGCAAGTTGAGTTGTCCTGCTGTTAAAGGCCAGTATGTTGTAACTCATCCTCTGAGGAAGGGAGTTCAGGCCTCCTTGAGTACAAGAAATGTGGTTTCCTGTGAGGCTGTTAAGGCTGCCTGCTTTGGTTAATATTGAAAAGAACTTGTATAAAGCCCAGAAGGACAGCCTGCTGCAGGGCTGTGAGGATGGAGGAGACCAGGGAGGCTAAGCACAGACTGACACAGGCCAGGGCTGATCTGTTGTTGATAATTTCTGGGGAGATGCTACTCCACCCTAAACATTCTGAAGGGGAAAAGGGACTCTTCTCCCCATGTATGAAGAATAGGGCTCAGTTGAACAATCTCACCCAAGAGAATCAGCAGAGCAGCTCCAAGTGCAGCACAGTGGGAGAAGTGCAGTTCAACCAAAATCTGGTAGGCTAAAGGCACACAGAGAGCACCAGCCAGGGCTGGCAGGAGTCGCAGGGACCACACAGGAACGTTCATGCTGTACTCTGAAACAGAACACAGGAAACAGGGATCCACCAGGCTGCAGGGGACAGACCAACACAGAATTTATTGACTGTTAGAGGAATTAACTCCTACTTGCACTGATTTGTCCATCTTGTACTGTTTAAACTGTTTAGCTGATTTAGAAAGCCTGTGCCATGAATTCATAGTGCTTTTAATTTGTGCTAGAGACCTGCAGAAGACTTGTTTAAAATGAGAAGTGAAGGTGTTGGAAAAGTGTTATCTCCACTAGACAGGCAAAAGGAATCCATCAGTTGCTGAAATTCTGCTTATTTTGTCTAAAGAATGAGACAGTTAAAAACAACTCTTACCAGCTCCAATCCTGTTCCATAGGAAGTTTCCATCAAATCCTCCTAAGTAACCTACAACATAAACAAGAGAATTTCCAGTCTCAAAGCACATATAAAACCTGGTGCTAAACTGGGAACCATTTCCCAAACACACAGCTTTTCCTTGCATGAAGGCCCTCTTTCCCAAAAGGGTCCTCTTTGATACTGTTCTGTCTGCAGCAATACTTGAGAATGTGCAGAGGCACAAAGACTATAAATTGGGAACAAGGGATTCTCAGTGACAAAGTCAGATGTATATTTAATCCCTCCCTCCCATACAGATACTTTGATGTTGTGGCATCTCAGCTACAGAAAGGAACTGAGGCTATTTCTTGCACTAGCAGTTCTCATCTTACTTTTCTCTTTATCCAAAGGATTGGATAAAGAGAGGTGATGGATAAAATCCAAGAGAGAGGATTGGATAAAATGAGGTGATGGATACATGGCTTCATCATCCTCCCTCTATTCGTGCAACAGCTCCCTGACAATCCTAAATAAAACTCAATTCTCTCTGCATCAGAGTCTCTCATGTGCTTTGTGCTTTTCCCCATAAGTGGATTTAATGATTCATTCCTAACCAGCACCTCTTTTTTCCAGAGCAACAAGCAACAGGCACTTCCCAGTTCCAGGAGAAGTGGAACCCTACCTCCCAGGGCCAGCAGCATGTGGCCAAAGGGTGGGCCACTGTCATCCACAAAGAAGATCCTCTTCATGTAGAGTGAAACAAACTGGCCATAATAAACTTCATCGAAACTGAAACACCAGAGGCAGAAAAATGTCAAATCTAACAGCAATGATCCTGCAGGGATACTCAGAAAGCAAACACCAATTTGTTGGTAGAGAGCTAAGAATGCAAGGAAGCCCTGAGGCTTTGCCCCTTCTCCTCAGGGGGTTTTAGGAGGGAAAGATTATTGCTGTATTGACATTGCTCAGCCTGGAAAAGAGAAGGCCCACAGGGGTGGCCTAATTGTGGCCTCCTGGTGCCTGAAGGGAGCCTACAGGAAAGATGGGCTGAGACTGTAAGAGCCTGGATGGCAGAACAAGGGGGAATGGCTGACAGAGAGTGGGTTGAGATGAATTTTAGGGAAGAATTTTTCCCTGTGAGGGTGGGGAGGCCCTGGCACAGGGTGCCCAGAGAAGCTGTGGCTGCCCCTGCATCCCTGGAAGCGTCCAAGGCCAGGCTGGAGCACCTGGGATAGTGGAAGGTGTCCCTGCCCACGGCAGGGGGCAGAATAAGATGAGATTTAAGATCCCTTCTAACCCAAACCAGTCTGGGATTTTGTGATTCTATGATTTACAGAGGCTGACATCAGTCAAGCTCTGCTCTTCTGCTCCTGCATTTTTGCTCACAAATGTTTGAAAAACAAGTCTGTGTCATTCAGGAATAAAAGAAACTCATTACTCACACCACAGCCCGTGGATAGCAAAGCCCCCAGAGACGACTTATTAATCCCATCACAGTCAGTGCCACAAGGCTCACATTGATCTTTGCAGTGACCACAACTGGCTCCTTCAGAAATCCCAACATCCTGTCAGAGGTTTGTCTGAACCTTTGAGAGCAGAAGAGAGCAGCAGTCACCCTTTGGCTCACAGAAAGCACCAAGCCTGATTTCTGCTACAAGCAGCTCATGGTAATTAATTTTCCAAATTTCTCTTGCTTTTCATGTTTTTGTGTTTCTATTCTACCTACAAGACTAGTTGTAAAAATAAAGTTACTGAACTGACACACTTTTCATCTGCCCTGCTTCTGCCTGCAGTAGTAAGCTAGAAACCTTGTTTATTCTTACACTGGTTCTGCAGAAACACAGCAGCTTAATTCAACAGCCTCTATTCTGCTTTGTGCAAAACAAACCTCATAGCCCAAATTCTGATGACACTGATGGACAACCCATGTGCTCAACCAGATTACCTCACTAACTGAGCTATTTAGAGCCCACGTAGCTTAAAAAAACCCTCAAATAACTTGCTTCCTTACAAACTGAGGTATTTTTCTGGGAGTGGGGATAGGAGGGGCAAATCCCCCAAACGCCCACTGCATTAGAAAGTTACTGGAGCACAGGTACGGGTGCTGTTTAAGCAGAAGTGCTAAAAGCTAGGGCAGAAAATAGCAGAGAATCCGTGCTGTGCTTCCTCACCTCAACACAACGCAAAGTTACCAGAACAAATCCATCTACGTGGCTTTGATCAGGGGAGAACAAAGCGAGATGTGAGCACATCACCACCACGCAGAGCCGTGCCACTGGCCTGGTTTCTCTGTGCCTACAAAACACAAGCGCTGCGTGGAGCCGAAGTTTTCAGAAGCCCCCGGCAGAGCTGCGCTCCCACCCGAGCTCTGTCATCCCCTCGCAGGCCCTGCGAGCCCAGCAGCTCCTGGTGGAGGCCCTGCGGTACAGCTGGGCCCAGGGCAGGTGAGCAGCGCCACCTCGGCTCCTCCTCGGGGTACACTCAAACCTCCGCACCCCCTTAAGAGGGAGCAGGGCCAGCGCCCCCCACCGCGCCCTGTGCCCCCTTTAAGCTCTCGGGGGACACTTCAGACCCCTCAAGTGGCCCTCAGAGGGTCACCGAGCCCCACCACCAACCCTGGATCCAGCCCTGGACCCTCCTTTGAGGGGAGCAGAGGAGCACCAACCCCAGCCCCCCCCGGAGCCTCTCCCACCCCCCTCAGCTCTACGGGGGTGAAGGGGGCGGGTAACCAGCGGGACGAGGAACAAGCCCGGGACCAGCACTGGGACCGGAATTAGGATCGGGACTAGGACTGGGATCGAGCAAGACGGGGATCGTGAGCAGGATCAAGATTAAGACCGGGACCAAGCCTAGAACCGGGACCGAGATGAGCACCGGGACCCCCGGCCCCACACGGCGCCGGGGGGCGGGGCCTTCCCGCGCACCGCGCTCCACCCGCCCCTACCTGTCGATACCGGATGTGACGTCAGACGCACGCATCCGCACGGGTCGGAAGCAGGAAGTGTTGCCATGGCAACGCTGCGTCTGAGGCGTGGGTCCGGCCTACCCAGCGTGGCAGCTGTGAGGGACCCGGCAGCACCTGGGCTCAGAGTCATAACCACCCACCCCGCCGCTGGGGCTTTTTGTTGTGTGTTTAGTTTTTCTTTTGTTTGGGTTTGGGGTTTTTTTGTTTGTTTGGTCTTTTTAAAGTTTTTTTTTGGGGGGGGGGTTGCTTTGTTTGTGTTTTGTTGGATTCGTTTTTTTAAAATTATTAACTAAAATAACCAGACAAGGGACTGGGGAATTTGAGAAAAGCATAATCTGCTTTATTTTTTTAATTTTTTTTTTATTTAAATAAGGAGAATTCTTTCATATGGAAAGAGCTAATACAATCACATATTTGAAAGGAGAAACAATAGGTACTGAAACGAGGAGAAGGGCAATAAAGAGTGTGCCGCAACTGGCCTGGTGATTCCGTGATTCGAATTCCGGTCCGAGTTAAAGTTTCCAAAAAATATAAACAGGTTGCACGTTACACAATTATCCATCGTCTGCCCTTTCAAATATCTGGTCTACATGAAAAGACAAAGAGAGGAAAGGCCAAAAAAAATTTACTATACAGGTCATGAAGTTAAAAGCTTTAAGGAGGACAGTATCCCCTTGAGAAACAACAAATGCAATTTCTACAGAACCAGAGGGAGGATTCCAGCTAAGGACAATGCCTAAGACATGCTAAAGGGTGAGCGCCTCACTGCTGCAGCTGTGATTCCTGGGGACAGTCAAGGACATCTGGAGCAGCCAGAACAAGCCACTAAACCCAAGGGAGTGTCTATGGCCACTGGAAAACCTGGTGGTCTTTGGATTAAAATAAACAACAAAAATAGCTGGACTCTACTGTCTCTTTTTTCAGCAAAATGCACCTTTTCTGTCCATGTGCCATAACTAAGCACACTGGTGGCTGCCATAAATGAAATTTTATTCACAAATGCAACTTTCTTATGAAGAAACTGAGTTGCTGAATAAAAAATAACCAGTGCTACAAGGAATTAACATGTGCTTAACCAGCCTGGAGGAAAAGGGAGGGTTAAGAAAATGCAACAGAAGGAGGTCCTGGCATGCAGGGGTGCTGGCTGCAACGTGACTGGTGTAGCCAAGAGGTGAGAGACAGCAAAAACACTCATCTCACTTGAATACCTATCTCTAAATACACAGGAACCACAGGGCAGCTTGTGCTTTGCAGCATTCCTGCAAGGAAGGTGTGGATGGAGTGAGTGGCTCTGCATGAACACCACACATGGGAGTGCAAGGGGCAGCAAACACATCCAGAGGTGCTGACACAGCCAGGAGCAAGCTATGGGACATCAACAGCAAGACCTGTGTCACTGGTGACTGTGCTGCTTGTCTTTTAAAATATACTGGAGTGCCTTTTTATTCACCATCTTTTTTTTTTTTTTTTTTTTTTAATTCCCAGACTTCAATGTTGATTTGTTTTTGAATGAAGAGCTAAGAGCAGAAGGGGTGAGGGCAGCAGCACTGACTGGAGCTGCTGGCCGTGGCAGGGCACTGATCACACAGGTGCTTCAGACCCTCTGCTGAACAAGAGCAGCACTCAGCCTCTCAACATTCCTGCTTGCTGCTGCAAAGATGGGCTCCACCTTTCCCTCCCACTGCACCCTGCACCTTTCCCAGCAGAAGGAGACTGCAATTGACTTCCAGTCAAAGCAAAAGCAACTCACAAAGGAATAAGTCAGCAATAAATCAACCCTTCAACAGTGCAGACAGCAGGCAGAAGGACCCTCTGTAACTGTAGTGACCTGTTCTGTGCATCTCCATCCTCCTCTCCACACTGGATTTTTATCACTATTCCAGCTCCCTTGACTTTCTGCTCCTTTGAGGATCAGAGGCTTTTCCTTTTGACTCCAGAGCACCACAAACTGCACTAACCTTGGACTAGCTTTAAACAAACAAACAAACAAACAAGCAAAAATATATGCCAGAGAAGGATATTGCACTGTAGAAATTTGGGCTCTAAAACTGCTTTCCATCACACAAAACTCCACTAAGTGAGAGAGAGTCTTGCCAACTGCAGCTGACAGTCACACAAAGTTGAGAAATGGAATGAAGCTCACATGCATTTCTTGGCCTTTCCTGCACAGAATAATTCAGACATAATATATAAATAGAGCAGTGAAACAATTACTTTTTCACCTAGACCTACAACATCAAATACGTATAAATAAATTCTAGTGTTTTATTCTGTTGGGGGAAGGAATGGAGTGATTAAAAGAGAAAGAAGGGTGACCTTTTTCAACAGGAAGTTTTGTAGTTCTGATGGCATGTACACCAGAGGGACTGCAGTAACTTGGATTGCAATAACCCAGTTTCTCCAACACGTTTGACCATTTTGAAGTCACACAGGTGGGAGGAAGGAGGTTAGTGTTTTTGTAAAGCTGAAGTAGTGTGTCTAGAGTAGGGAAGAGATGAGAAGGGCTCAGGTAAGTCTCTTTAGCCATTAGTTAGATTCTGGGCTCTTATTAGCTAGGGCCAGCTGGGCAGAAGGATAATAAAAAAAATCCCAAACAGACAATTCTGCTGTTAATGGTATTTCAAGGGAGAAAACAGAAACAAGGGTGGGATGACTTACTGGAGGTGCAATCTTTGGAAAACACTGGGAGCAGGACTAGCAGATGAGGATGCAGATCTGGGAGATGTCTGAAGGTTGGGGAAATATTTGTCACTAAATCTCAAACCCTGTACTTTAAGGAGGATGCTCGAGAGATGCTGGCACACTCTGCTCTGAAATTAAAATCCATAAAACCTAAGAAAAAAAGAGCTCTTATTTTTTCTTAAAGTACCATCCTATCCCTTTCCCTTCGGGTTCTCTGCCATGTTCCATGGGGACACCTATGGAGAGGGGACATTACTATGCCTAAGTTAGTTTAGGTTTCTAAGCTCTTTAAAGCTACTGTATAAAAATCATATTTATGCCTAGCTTAAAACTTCAAATGCATCCTTACAAAGTTACAAAGGATCTTTTTCCAGAAAGGGGAGAGGGAGGGGGGAAAAAAAAAGCAAACAAAGAAACAAGAACACCTTTCAGATCCCTTCCCCAATACATTCTTTGTTCAAAATAATCTTCTTTGGAACCACCACCAAATGACTTTCTGCCACCCAGCAGAGGCTGATGCACAGCCCGTGAGCAAGCCACCATCTCCAAAAATGGTTCTGTCCCTCACTTCAGAGTGACCAGCCTACTTTACATTTTGAAAGAGCTAAACAACACAAACCAAGTTAGCTTAAAGTAGTTTTTACTTTAGACTACCATCAGGTGAAGGACTCCAAGTCCTTTCAGGAACTTTTAGGTCCGTCCTAAAAAAATCTACGTACACACACACACACGCACACACACACACTCACTCACATAAACCAAAACCAAACAGCCAAAGAAATAAAACCCAACCTCTCCCACTGGGATCTTCCTTGTGTAGATCATCAAATACTGGAGAGGAGTGGTGAGGTGACGATGCTGTACACACACTATATGCAACTGCATCAGAGTAAAGAACCCTTTGCTGTTCACCTGGGGAAGGAGAGGAGAAGGATGATTCCAATCTGCCTCTGTAACCACGTGCTTCCAACCCAAAACAGGAGGTTCCAAGTGTGCCTTGCAGAGGGGCTCCCTTACCAACGTATCTCTATGCAAATTTTACAAAAGGCCATGGAATAGAGGAATAGAAAGCAAGACTCAGGGAAAAGAGTAAAGCTTAGGAGAGCAGCCCCGAGGGATGAACACAATATAGGACAAGTCTCAGGAGACACGAAGAATTCGAGCAGCCAAGGCAGGGAGCATGAGAGAGCATCACAACTACAAAAAGTAGTCCATACAGACCCGTTGGCTCTAGCCAACTCTTCTGACCCATGTGCTGTGAGAACTTTTTTTCTTCCTAACAAATGTTACACTTTGTAAATCTATGATTTACATTTTGGCGCGTGTTTTGCAGTCACTAAAAAAATCCGAAACCCACAAAAAGGAAAAATTGAAACACCTAGATCTGTATGAGCTTGCAACAGAAATCTGGTGGTTTGAGTTTTTTTCCTTAAAATGAAAATGCTAAATTTTGTTGTGCACAAAGCACCCCAAAGCTGTGTTTCAGGATTTATGCACTGATGTACTACATATCTTTAGTACACATCGCCTCCTACTGCAAGCACTGCCTCTAGCTTAAAACAAAAATACTGAAAAATTAACAAATGTCATATCTGTCCTGGTTTTTTTAATCAAATAGTCTGAAAGGCTAAATCATCTGGGAAAATACACCCAAACAAACTCAAACTCTCAACATAGCACAGAACCAGATACAAAACTAAGCAGAGTTTTGTCAGAACACCATTATAGCTGAAGGGAATTCTTTTCTGAAAGGAATGAGGAAAGCAGAAAGAAGGGGGGGAATGAGAGAACATATAAAAGTTCTGCTATAAACAAAGATACAGCTTTTTTGTAAAAACCTCAGCTGCCTTTAAAATGAAAAACCTCAAACT